AACCAGTTGCCCGCCAAGCATCACCCATACCGGGTCATGCCTCCTGGGTTACAGTTAACTGGTTCTCCAGGAGAAGCTACCCCCCGGCAGCCAGCCCCATGCAGCTTTCTCTCCTTCTCTTGGCACCATAGACTCTTCCAGGATAGCGCTGATCTGAAGTTCTAGGATTTAAACCTCCCCCCACCACCGCCCGCTTGTTTTCTAACAAAACTTTGTAGGTCTCGTACTCCATCAGCATGAAGTAGAAAAGGGCCTTGCCCATTTTCCCGCCTTTGCAGCTGACTTTACGATGGCACCTATGCCCACCACCCAGCGCTACAAGAGGCGGACAATGCTCCCCCAGTTGCAAGGGCTTCTTGCTGGTGCCTTTACCGTCAGGCACTTTCTAATCTGTGCTAGGTTTTTCATGTTATAAAAACAAAAATGTGCCCTGAGGCTCATATTCAGAAACTTGTCTAAGAAACACAGCATCTCTAAAAGGACCCGGGCAGGGAAATCTCACAAGGGCATGTGACTGTGTTTGTAATGAAAATAATGCACTTAGCTTCTTTCAGCTACGGATTTCAAAGTGCTTCATAAAGGGAGGCATTGTTATTCCCATTTAGAAGATGGGGAAACTTGAGGTACAGAAGTAAAATGACTTACTCAAGGTCACCCAGCTCCCAGCCAGTCAGTGGCAGACTCAAGACTCAAATCCATGTCTCCTGATGGTCAGTCCTGTGCTCATATGGCACAGTGCATCTGGCCATTTGTTTTACATCAGTTTGCAAAATATGAACTTTCAGGGATGCATTGTAAGCCCAGGGGATAGGTAAAATCTTACATGAGAACAGCCAGCCAGAGTCAGACCATCTCGCCCAGCGTCCTGTCTTCTGATAGCAGCCAATGCCAGGGGCTGCAGAGGGAATGAAGAGAACAGAGAATTATCAAGTGATCTCTCTCCTGTCTCCCGTTCCCAGCTTCTGACAAACAGAGGCCAGGGACACCATTCCTGCCGATCCTGGCTAATAGCTATTGATCATAGAATCCTAGAATACTAGGACTGGAAGGGACCTCAAGAGGACATCGAGTCCAGTCCCCTGCCCCCATGGCAGGACCAAATACTGTCTAGACCATCCCTGATAGACATTTATCTAACCTGCTCTTCAATATCTCCACAGATGGGGATTCCACAACCTCCCTGGGCAATTTATTCCAGTGTTTAACCATCCTGACAGTTAGGAACTTTTTCCTAATGTCCAACCTAAACCTCCCTTGCTGCAGTTTAAGCCCATTGCTTCTTGTTATATCCTCAGAGGCCAAGATGAACAAGTTTTCTCCCTCCTCCTTATAACACCCTTTTAGACACCTGAAAATGGCTCTCATGTCCCCCCTAAATCTTCTCTTTTCTAAACTAAACAAACCCAAGTCTTTCAGCCTTCCTTCATAGGTCGTGTTCTCTAGACCTTTAATCATTCTTGTTGCTCTTCTCTGGACCCTCTCCAATTTCTCTACATCTTTCTTGAAATGCTGTGCCCAGAATCTGCGCTAGGTTTTGGACCTATCCTCCCTGAACTTCTCTAGCTTTTTTTTTTTAACCCTGTTAAAGTCCTGGCTGCCACAACATTCTCTGGCAAGGAGTTCCACAGATTGACTGTGTGCTGCTTGAAGAAATACTTCCTTTTGTTTGTTTTAAACCTGCTGCCTGTTCATTTCATTTGGTGACCCCTACTTCTTGTGTTAAGGAAAAGTTATTTACTTGTTCCCATATTTACTTTCTCCACACCAGTCATGATTTTATAGAATTCCATCATCTCCCCCCTTTGTCATCTCTTTTTAAGCTGATAAGTCTCAGGCTTATTAATTTCTCCTCAAATGACATATCCCTCATATCCCCTAATTATTTTTGTTACCCTTTTCTGAACTTTGTTCAGTGCCAAGATGTATTTTTTTTATATGAGGCAACCACATCTGAATGCAGAATTCAAGATGTGGCTGTATCATAGATTTATAGAGAGGCAATAAGATATTCTCTGTCTTATTCGCCATCCCTTTCTTAAGGATTCCTAACATTCCCTTTGTCGTTTTGGCTGCTGCTGCACATGGAGTGGATGTTTTCAGGGGACTATCCACAATGACTCTAAGATCTCTCTCTTGAGTGGTAACAGTTAATTTAGTCCCATCATTTGATACATATAGTTGGGAGAGTGTTTTCCAATGGGCATTACTTTGCATTTATCAACATTAAAATTCAACTGCCATTTTGTTGCCCAGTCATCTAGTTTTGTGAGATCCTTTTGAAACTCTTCACAGGCTACTTTGGACTTAGCTATCTTGAGCTGTTTTGTATCTTTATTGAACTTATTTTATATTGCCGCATGCTGTAAAGTCCATGGACAAATATGTGAGTTTTTCCACTGACTTCAGTGAAAGCAGAGATTAGCTCTAAGCAGGGCTTGCAAAGTAGGTAAATACAGATTTCTGTCTGTCAACTTTCCACGGGAATTCAGTGAGATGCTTGCTCGCAAATTGGCTTTTGAAGGCCTTGGTCAAAGCTACGGTGTTAATTTGTCTCCTGCAAAGTCTGCACAGAATCATTTTTTCCCTCTCCTCCTTGCATGCCACTCACATAACGTGCAAGATAAACATGCTAGGGCAGCAGCCAAGGAAGATACAGTGGAAGTGGGGGCAGTGTGCTGGAAACAGATAATATATACTATCACAGCACATCATATTGAACTCAAAATCCTGTCCCCTCAAAAGGAAAGAACTCGAGTGTATGGTTGGGCTTCTTCAAAAGGCCACAAGCTCCACTGGATATTGGCAGCTGTGCATTAGTAGCTGGCTGAAGGAAATGGTGAGAGGTCACCAAATCTTTCACTTCTGGGCACCTGTTTGAAGGTGTCCAAGTGATTGGAACTGGTTCCCTGACAGCCATCCAAAGGCCCGAGGGTCTCCTGGGCTAAGTCTACACTCCAGAGATTAAAGCACTGCAGTAGCAGTGTTAACGTGGGTGTGGGCCAGGGCTCTGTGCAAACTGCCTCCCCGCGGAGCCCAGACCCATTTACACAGGCGCTTCGCTGTCCTGTAACATGCTGCGCTCAGGGCGGGGGGAAGGTGTTTTTTCACACCCCCGAGTGAGACATTTGCCGCACCATAAAGTGGCCCTGTAGACAAGGCCGTAGTTTCTAATGGACGAGTTGTGCTCACAACGCTCCTTCTCCCCACTTTTGGCACAAACTGACCCCTAACTGGCTGTCTCAACAGGAGCAACGGTGGCATGGAAACAGGCCTGAGCACTGCACACATATAAGGATGGAAACTTGGCAAAGTGAACCGGTAGGGCCTCAGCCTGGCAGTCCGCACTGTCACCCCAGGGCTACCTCTATGGCTTCTGGCCCTACACAGCCCGAGCACTGCACCCTCAGCCCCCGCCGAGGAGGGGGGCAGCACCTCTTCCGACGGGGGGGATGCCAGGGCTGTGGGGCAGGAACAGGGCAGGGAGGCCAGTCGGCATTAGTGCAAGCAGAGCAGTGCAGCCTGTCAGAGCTGTGGGCCAGAAGGCGGAGCTGGGGGGGCGGGATTGGAGCCACTGAAACTGGGGGGAGGTCATAACAAGGGCTGGGGGATTCAGCCGGTGGGGCCGGGAGGTGGAGCCTAGAACTGGGCAGTGAGGGTTTGGGCTGCTGGGTCTGGAAGGTGGAGCAGGAAGCAAGGGTCTGGGAAATTGGGCTTCTGGGGCCAGGAGGTGGAGCAGGGCTGGGGGCCAGGGGCTGCTTGAGCTGGCACTGTGCTCGGCCAGTGCTAAGCAAACACAGCATAGAGCACTTCTTAATTTAGGACACCATGACTCCCTATGCAGCTGTGTATTCTGCATTAGGGTTTTAAAATCCCATTTAATTAACCAATTAAACATGGGGTGCCCCCACCCCTCTGCAGCCAGGCTAGAGCATCCCTGGGCTGCAACTGCTCCAACCCCTGCCAGTTAACTGTAACCAGTATAGGTGATGCTTACCATGTAACTGGTTAACCATTCACACCCTATTTTGCATGTCTAAAGACGGCCAAGGTGATGCTTACCATGTAACTAGTTAACCATTCACACCCTATTTTGCATGTCTAAAGACGGCCCTGCGTCACCCACTCCTACAGTCTGGGCTCTGCTGCTGTGCGGGATGGGGGATTGTCTGTCACCTGCACCAGGAATGCAGAGCCAGAGTCTTCATGTGGGGATACCATGGTACAGTCGCCTGTTGGAGTAAAGGGTGATGCTACAGCCCCCACAGGTATGCGTGAGGGTTGCTGGTGGGGGGTGCCCAGGCCCAGTGGGTGTGACTACATAGAAGCTCTGCCTCAGGCAAAGAAGTCTCTGTTCTGCCTCCATGCATATCCGGTTGCGTAATGAAGCGAGTTACCTGCTCAGTGCTCATACTGCAATTGCTCCATATCTGGGCAGGAGTCCAGTGGAATAACCCTTCCCCCGCTCCCTGCGCTGTGCGCACAAACCCGGCGCTGGGTGTGGCCATTGTGTGAAAAGGAGCTGGCTGACACTGGGGCATTTTACCTTCATGAACTGCTTCTCCATGTGCCCAGGCAACTCCTGGCGTTAGCAGGACACTTCGTAAGCTATCCCGGAGCTGGTTCAGTGCGTCAGCGCAGAAGTGCTCACGTCATGGCCCCTCCAGGTCCTGCTGCAGACCCTGTCATTAAGAACTTCAGATGAATCATGGACTCAACAGCAAAACTGGCTGTGTGGTTTCTTATTGTAACCCATTCACCCCCTCTTTTTGTAAATACCCTTAAATCAAACTCCGACAAGTCCTCAAATTCTCTCTTGACTTTGCCTAGCTACACATTTTGATTACTGATGTCAATATGTCATTTTGTGCGTGTGTGGTGGAATCCTTATTTACTAATTCAGAACCTAAGCTGGCCAAGCATCAGTGAACGTGTCTCAATCAGTTTGTAATGCACCTTATGAACCAGGACAAGTCGTAACTTCCTAGATCCTGCAGGGCATTTATGCTGGGAAAGAAGCTGCAGAGAATTCAAGCACACAGACTATTTGGGATAGCTGGCTGGGTACAAAAGTGAGGGAAGACAATAATAAGCAGAGGAAACTTTCAGTGAAGTGAGGATCAGATAACATGCTTCGCCCTATAACCTCAGAATCTTGATTTAGTAGTTCTGACTACATTATTTCACACTAGTGGGATAATATCAGGTTTTCGGATACCAATTTAAATTGGGGTCTGAAATGCGGAATCTCCTGCTAATTGAGGACCGATGAGGATGACAAGGGTTCTCAGGCAGGACCCAGATAAGGACAGCTCTGCCAGCAGCTCCAAGAAGGCTGATCTAGTGCTTAGGGATCTCTAGCCTAGGCTTTGGCTGACCTGGGGTCAATTACTTACCACAGACAATGGTCCCTCTAATTTTTTCCATCCCACACAATGGTCCCTCTAATTTTTTCCATCTATGTGTGGAATAAATTTTGCTAGGTGTACCACCTAGATGTGCACCACCAGTAGAAACACACACTGCTGGCCATGGGCCCTTTGCTAATCAGCTGGGCAGCATTTGAGTCTCTCCTGGATGCCCTCCCCCAAGCACTTAGCTTACAGGGAACACTGACCACAGACTTCTGGTATGAACTTACAAGCCTGAATGAAGGTCTTGCACTTCCCTTCTTCACATGTGTGTTGTGATATTAGAACGTGCTCAGATCCTGTGCCAATGGGAGCCATGTAAGAGACAGGGAGATCACCTGACTCTTAAGGGAGCCTCCTGTTATTCAAATGGCCATTCTTCGCACCGTTCTGCTCTTTTCAGGCTGGAAGAGCATCAGCCCAACAGGCACTACCAGAGCATTCCCTTCCTCCACCCTAAAAGAACACACACGTTAGACTTTGTTATTCAGATGGTTTGGACACACCTGTTTGTTGACAGGCAGGGACAATCTTACAGGTTGTCAGCGTCCCAGCTTGCCACGCATGGTACCAAGCAGTGATCTTACGTTTGCTGATGGCGCCATCGTGTGGTAGAATGGCTCTTAATAAAAAATGCTGCTGAGGAGAAGAGCAGCACTACACAATTGGCTAGTAGCTGGAAAAGGGATTTGAATTTCACAGGGTTTGCAAGGGTGTGGGGTCTGTATCTGGCCACCAGGGCAGCGGAGTTCAAACTGCTGACCAGAGGGGCTGCTTGGGAATTGTGGGCCCCTTCCTGGAGGTCAGAATCAGCGACAAAACACCTTGCGGTGTCCCTAATGTATGTTTGTAGACAACAGAGGGAAGGGAAAAGTCCCTCACGGAGCTGGAAGTTTTTTGTCAATGACAACAGCCATTTTTTGTGACCAAAGCCGTGTTGCAGTGTAAATGCTCACGCACTATTGTCGACAAAAGAGGAAGTTACTCACCTTGGTGCAGTAACAGCGGTTCTTTGAGATGTGTCTCTCCCCCCATGGGTTCTCCACTGTTGGTGTCCGGTCATCCCAGCGCCACAGATTGGAGTTTTCATGAGCAGTAGTCAGCTGGACCGTGCATGATGTGTCTCTCCCCCCATGGGTTCTCCACTGTTGGTGTCCGGTCATCCCAGCGCCACAGATTGGAGTTTTCATGAGCAGTAGTCAGCTGGACCATGCATGTGCAGCACACGCCTTGCGCCGTTCATGCCTTTTGATCTCTCGCACAGTGTGGCTCCCGCCAGTTCCTCAAGTCCACCCTGGTATCTGAAAGATACAATAAGAGACTCTGAAGCGGGGAGGAGGGCAGGTAGTGGAGCATCTCAAAGAACCATCGTTACTGCACCAAGGTGAGTAACGTCCTCTTCTTCTTCGAGTAGTGTCCCCGTGGGTGCTCCACTGTCCATGACTGTGTAGCAGTACCCGTGTATAAGGAAGGTGGGTAACAGAGTCACTGCTTATTCACAGTCAAGAGCACGGCAGATGCTACCACAGTATCAGTAGATAAGTTGTGAGAAATTGTGTAATGTTTCATGAAGGTATTGTTGGTGGACCATGTGGCTGCTCGACAAATATCCCTAAGAGGAACTCCATGAAGGAAGGCTGTAAAGGTTGCTACGGCTCTTGCAGAGCTCTAAGTATCTCTGGCAGTGGTTTATTTCGTATAGCATAGCACTTTTTAATGCAAGTAACAATAAGGTTTGAGATCCTGTGGGGGTAGTAGAGCCCAATGGAATGGAACTCCTGCAAGTAAGTTGTTTGGCTTGGTCCACCACTTTAGAGATGCTAGAATGTCAGTAAGAAGGGACACTTGCCAGTGTACATCCCAATTTTGGTGGGAGTAAAGGGAAGCAAGCCAGAGTTGAAGGCAGCGAAAGTGGAGCCTTGCATGAGCAACCACGTAAGTTGTAGCTGCCATATGACCTGTGAGTTGAAGACAGGTAAGTATTGACACTCTCGGGCTGTTTGTGAGTGTGAACATGAGGTCTTGGATTGCTCAAAATCGTTGCAATGGTAGGTACACTCTTACCATGGTGCAGTCTAGACTGGCTCCAACGAACTCTAGGGTTTGTGCAGGTAGAAGTGCTGATTTCTGTTCATTGAGAATGAGACGTAAGAGGTCGAACATCTGTCCGGTTATGGATATCATATGGAGAGTGTCCATCTCTCTTGGTCCTTCTATTAGACAGTTGTCTAAGTAGGGAAAAATCATAATCTGTTGTTGACACAGGTATGCTGCAACAACAGCAAGTGTCTTCAAAAATACCCTGGGTGCCGATGACAGGCCGAAGGGTAGAACACCGTACTGATAGTGGTCTGATCCGACCACAAAGCGTAGAAATCGTCTGTGCGCCGGATGTATGTTAATATGAAAGTAGGCATCTTGCAGATCGAGGGCTGCAATCCAGTTCCCCTTTTCTAATGCTGAGATAATGGATGCTAGGGTCACCATCTTGAATTGTTGTTTCCAAAGGTATCAGTTCAGTCTGCGAAGGTATAGAATAGGTCTCCAGCCACCTGTCTTTTTTGTTGTGAGAAAATAGTGGGGATAGAAGCCCCTGATCTTGGACTCTTCTGGCACCATCTCTACTGCACTGATGTCTAAGAGAAGGTGGACCTCCTTTTTGAGTAGATCCTTGTGAGAAGGGTCCCTGAAGAGGGAAGGGGATGATAGGGAGGTGGGGGGTAGTGCTACAAATGGTATGGTGTAGCCTGATGACACCATCCCTAGGACCCAATGATCTGATGCAACGGCAGCCCAGCGGTGGTAAAATGGTCTCAGCCGATGATGGAAAGTTGGGGTAGATTGATCATGGTGACCCAGCAAGAGGAGGTCCTGCAAGCCCTCAACCTGGAAGTCAAACGTGCTGTTTGCTTGTCTGCTGGTTTGGGTTATGGCTGTTCTGAGGCTGTCTCTTCTGCAGTCGTTGCCTCACTCTGGATTGGTCGAAGCCCTGTTGTTGATATCTCAGTATGAAAAGTTTCAGTGCAGTTGGTATGGTACTTATAGGGATGGCTATTTTTGCGCGTTGTGATGGCTGGAGATTTGAGGAGCCGGTGCTGTTTCTCTTGGACCTGTATCTCTTGACTGGCAGCCACTCTCTTAAAAAGTTCCTGAAACTGTTTCAGGTCATCAGGTGGTGATTGATCACCAGGAATAACTGCCTCATAGGGAGATGAGGAAGACAGTTGGGAAGATGTCTGGTTGCTGTTCCTGTCTCAGATATCTGTCCCTCCTTGGGTTCGGAGTGCTGGTGTATTGCTTGGGGGTTCAAAGAGGACATTGTAAGTACAGGTCCGTGTGATGTGGGAGAGAGTGAATATCCGTGTGTAGGCTGATGTTCCAGGCAGTAGGATGGGTGATATTTCTGTTGTCAATGATGGTATTGCACTGACCAGTGAGCGGAATAATCATAACAATGTGAATGCCTGTATTGTCGGTATTCCCATCTGTCAGGAGAGTGGTATCGTGATAAGCATATGCTCATCCAGTGTTCATGGTGGTGTGCATGAGAAGAGAGTATTGGAGAGTGCAGCAATCTGAGAGAGCCCCTGAGGATGGGGGAGGCAATAAGGAACTGTATTTCCGGTATGGTTTTTGGGGCCCAGGAGAGAGATTGGAAACCAGTCTGTAATGCCTATCATATCTAAAGGGGAAGTTAGCATCACAGGTAAATGCAGCATAGGTGATGGTGATGATTTGTAGGTGAAAAAGTAAGTGGTTCTGGGCTGAGATCATGTGTTCTTTGCAATTTGTGAGTCGCCTTCTTTGGTCCTGGAGGGCTAACAACCTCCAGTGCTGGGCGTTCTGTGTCATATCTCAGTGTCGGTGCTGAGTGCGTCGGTGCCAGTGTCTGCACTGTTTGCATCAGTGCCAATGTCTTCAACGCTTGAGCTGGTGCCAGTGAGATCGCTACACGTGACACCAGTGTTGTGGATGCCATTGATGGTTGTGCTGCAGCTCACAGTGCCAAGTTTGGCGGATTTGAACGTCTTGCCGGTGCCACAGTTGTCGGTACCATAGATGGTCCATGCCGAATTTTCGGTTCTGAAGCCGTTTTAAGCTGTGGTTTCGTGGCACTGGATGTTCCCGGTTTCTCTCCAACACTTATTCTACTCGTGGAGGCTGGTGGTAG